ACATTAAATAAGCCAACTATAAAAAAGAATTGTGAAATCCGTAAATATTTTTTAAAAACCAGAAAGAGCAAAGTATTAAGTGATTATTGTGGTTCAAAAAGAGGGTGACTTTTTTTTCCTTAATGAATAAAAACATTTTATTATGTTTGTTATATAGTTAAAATTAAAATGTCATTTATTTTATTTACAGAGTCAAATGAATGTGGACTTTTTAAAAATAGTTATTTTCTCTAATTTTCTTGTTAGGATTTAGGTCCTGAATATGAAGATATATTTAACACCTCATTGCAGTGGATTTTAGAAAATGGGAAAGATATTGGAATAAGGTAAAGGATTTGATTTGGACTTTGACTGTTTTAAATTGTAAGACATGAGTTTTGACTTTAAACTCTACCTCAATTGTTTTTAAATAGGTGTGTTGGTTATGGCCCTCAGGAAGAATTGAGAAATATAACTGATGTGCAGTTTTTACAGTCCACAAGACCACAGATGTCTTTCTGGTGTCGTTTTCGATGTGCTTTTATTACTGTAACCCACAGATTATTGTTGTTATGTTTAGGTAAGTTGTTAGGATGAGAAAGGTGATACATTGCAGTCTAGAAATTTTGTGTGTCTGTATTTTACTGAATGCCAGAGCTGAGAGTCTACTTCCCACTTCTGTGATGGATGTCATATAAAACACATCCAGAAACCTTCACTAAATAAAGCTGAGGGGTTGTTATAATGTCAATATTAAACTAAGGGCTTAGAAAACAGTAATATAAGGAGAGAGGCATAAATAAAACTTTGTTATAAGAATATCATAAAAAGAGCAAGTATATTTAGCATGTATATAGAAATCTACTTTAGAGACCAGATGTGATGGCACATGCCTGAAATTGCAGCACTTGAGAGGCTGAGGCAAGAGGATTGTCATGAATTTGAGGCCAGTCTGGACTACATAGTGAGTTCAAGGCCAGCTGAGAGAACACAGCGAGACCTTATCTCAAAAACCTCCCCCCAAAACAACAAAAATCTGCTTTGGAAAATAGAAAAATTAAGCTTATTTTTAAATGGAATATTATAAATTAAGCTCATTAAAATTACTTTTACACAATATCATTTGTGAGAATGAAAATTTCTACCCAAGTTATTAGATTTTATAAATTTTTGATTGATGATTGGAACTTAGGAGATGTTTATTCCTTATTTTTTTTTTCTGAGTAATCCTTAAAAAATTATTCAATTTACATAAAAGTAAGATTTTAGTACCTTTAGTCTAATAAAATTCACTTTTCTAGTAGTTTAATGCCAAACAGGAAAAAGTCTGAAATAGTGTAAACAGGTAGTCAGATTTTAAATGTTCAGTTGCCTACGTATGGAAGAAATACTTTTTCTAGAGAGAAGGGAAAATCTGAAAAATGTGTAATATTAAATTTTTCTTTATAGTTTTATTTAATTATATATTTAATTCAACCCTGTGTTTTGTTCCATTCTTTTAGGGCAATTAAAATAGTCATTATGGAAACTGTTTGCAATGTTATTGAATGCCATT